GCACTTAAGGGTTCGGATTTCAAGGGCGAAAGGTCTAGAACTCAAGTGGGACTTTCCGCAAATCGGGGACCCCAATATAGTACCCTAAATAGTAGGATCATTATTATAAGGACCCCAAAATACGGTACCCCTCAAGTTCGGAACCTCCCAAGTGTGTAGGCCGTAGGCTGGTGCCCTGGGGTTTCGGCCCTCGGCTGCAGGGTTTTGGATTCAGGGGGTTTCGAGATTCAGGTACTTGGGGTTTAGGGTTTAGGGTTTAGGGTTTAGGGTTTTAGGGTTTAGGGTTTTAGGGTTTAGGGTTTAGGGTTCAGGGGCTCATGAGATGTTTTGGAAATCATTAGGGCCTGCCTTGTGTTTATCGGCTTCTGATTAAGTCGCCCGATCTTCCAAGCACTCCTTCAAACTGTAAGCCCCGCCACAAGCCCGCCAAGACCCAACCCCAAAACCTAAAACAGCACGACCGAATCCTAAGCCTCGTAAGCTCTATGCCCAAGGGGCGAGACCTTAATCCTTTTTCCAAACGGTGGGCTCAGGCTCAGGGTACAGAGTTTGGAATCCCAACTGTTTCCAAACCCAGAAATCTCTGAAGTCTTCGGCAAGAGCACAGAGATCATGTTAAACTCTCAGCAGCCTGAACCCCGAACCCAACAGTACTCCTGAGAATCCTGCGCTGAGAACTCTGCAAACACATAGGTCGCCTTCCTGATGCACTTTGGCATGCAGGGCACTGCCCACCAGGACTTCACTTTCAACTGCGCGGTGCCCGATGTGCTGCTCTGAATCTGAAAGCCTTGACAAGGAATTAAGAAGAACTGAAACCCCAAGTCCAAGCCCACACTCCAGGGGCCTCGACTAGCATGTAGTAAAATTCTCCCGTATTGGATGGAATGAAATCTCACAAAGCTGAATCTTACCATTGAGGCCGCTAGAATACCCCTAAGGCCTAAGGCCTAATCTGCAGATTCGAATCTGTTAGGTCGCAGCTTCCAGGCGTTTGCTTGCTGAACCTGTTCGCTGCACGTTTCTGCGGCAGCAGGGTTTAGGCTAGTCAATTCCTGCCATAGGACGCATCAGCGATGATGCAGTACTATCCGGCATCGGGGACATCTCCTGCAATAGAGCAGAGATTACAAGGAGATTATGTGCCTTGGCAGCCGACGATCGTGGGTTTTCGCTGTTTGGAGTTTAATCTCACAACTTGCATGCTGAAGGGACCGACCTAATGGGGATCCGAAACGTCCTGCTGTGGTGACACTGCCGGCACGTTGGGCTGAGGCTGAGTCGGAAGTGACTTAAGCCATGCATGTCCAAGTTGTCGAAACCGTCGTTATTCTCGCTCCGTTTCACCATACTTGTCGAAAGCCAGAAGCCGTTTGCCATCCGGAACGACCACGGCATAAACCACAGCCAACGCACGAACCTTGTCGTCACCAGTCCGCGTTTCCACGCAGGGCACTGCAAACTGCAAACCCACTTCTTTTCTGTGATTTTTTTGAAGTCTCGGCCTCGTCTAAGAGAGGCCTTTCCGAAACCTAAGCTTAAAGGAGAACCCTCAAGTCTTGGGAAGCTCGACCGTCGGCTTCTTGAGGCGAGACCGCCCTTAGACTTCAACGGAGTCCGGCAGCAGCTTTCGACGACGGACTTCTCCGCGCCAGGGCAGCCCGGGAATGGGGGAATGCTCTGAGTTAACATCATATAGCACCTAGGTGCGCGAATGATTGCCAACAGTATCCCCACATCAACACCCCAAAACCTTAAGCCCGCAGGGGAAGGAAGCAAAACTAGATCAACAAGCACAAAAAAAGATTCGAATGAGCACTACGTCAAAGACCGCCTTTCGGGGCAGGAGTAGTAGTTCAGAAGTAGTGGCAGTAGGAGTAGTAGTAGTAGTAGTAGTAGTAGTAGTAGTAGCAGTAGCAGTAGCAGTAGCAGTAGCAGTAGCAGTAGCAGTAGCAGTAGCAGTAGCAGTAGCAGTAGCAGTAGCAGTAGCAGTAGTAGTAGTGGTAGTGGTAGTAGTAGTAGTAGTAGTAGCAGTAGTAGTAGTAGTAGTAGTAGTAGTGGTAGTAGCAGTATTATAGTACAAGTGCTACTAGTACCGACATTAGTACTGGTACCCGTACTAGTACTAGTCGTGGTCGACTCAACAGCAAAGTGTTACCTTCAGTGCGACGGCGACTGCTAACTACTAACGAGTTACTACGGAGAACAACAACAACAACAACTTCTACTACTACTACTACTACTACTACTACTACTACCACTGCTACTGCTACTGCTACTCCCCCTTCTCCTGCTGCTGCTGCTGCTGCTAACATTACGAGGTCACCACCACAAAACAGAAACATGCTTGCATTTACAGCAGCGGGAATTTTCTGCGCAGTCGTAGTTGAGGTCTCTCTCCAGTGTTCGTGTTGGCGAGCTCTGGGAGTTTGTTGTTGGGATTGTTCGCGCAGGCCCGGCCAAAGTTATCCTTATTATGCCGAGCAGCCCAGCGTGGAGAAGTACGCCACTGGCCTGCAGTTAGTTGGTCTCAAGAGGAACCATAGCACGTAATGTATAATGTACATTGTCCAGACACCGTCTAATGAGTCTAATGTAGTAGCGCAGCATACTACAGTAATCCAGGGTGTTGGCAGCTTGCGGTTTACAGGGGCAATAGCTTCTGCACTTTATTCCGGGGATGGGCCGATTGGAGGCTGCTAGAAATAGTAAGCTATCTACGGGTGTTTACAGTTCTTTCGGTGGATTTGCTATTGGGATTCTGTCCAGGCTCAGCTTACATGGATAGCCTGACACGCGATGTGTAATCGAAACATAGTGATTAGAAGTAATTAGTAGCATCACCACGGTATGATTTTCGATGCGACAACGACGACGATGATGACGACTACCACCATGCCGAAGACGACCACGACGACGGGCATGAGCATTTCTCTCCTTTCGGTTCGCCGAAAAGATGAGGTTACAGCAAGGAACTTAACAAAAACCACAAGACCCGAACCCGAACCGCCAGAGGCCACGTGCTGAAAACACAGGCATCTAGAAGCAGCCCCTACTGACCACATAGGTCCCTCGCCTGTGCTTCCTTCGTTGATGGCGACTGAACCCCGACACATCAAAAGGAAGTGTAAGGTTTAGATTCCGGAGCCCGGCAAAGCGTAAATCCACTGAATCCTAAGTAAGATGTGTGAGGGTAGTCCCGAATCCTCGAAGCCAAAAGCTTTTTACGCAAGAGAAGCTTGACACACCGCAGCGTCGAAGAAGACCGAACCTAGTGAGCCTAGCCTCGGACACGCTGCAAGCAAGACTAAGGCAGCGCAAGTTCCAATGCAGGAGTGAGTTACGGGGGAGCAGAGAAGTGTCATGCGATGCATCGCCTTCTAGACTTTTGGAGTCGAGGTTGTTATTGGTGTTTTTGGGGAGTTGGGAGTGTGTTTCACTTGGTGTAGCCGGTTTGCAGCAGACTCCACCAGAAATTGAGAAGACCGAAGCCTGTTCCAGCCATTCCTCAACACCCTAAGTTTAGAGGCCTTTCCCGATGTGCTTCAGGTAACCCCAAGTCTAGGTTTCCCAAAGGCCGACAAGAGAAAGGGCCACGCTTCGCGTTCCTTTGGTTTTTCAGGTTGAAACTGCTCGGCGGCAGAACTCGGAATCTCAAAACATAAGAGACTAAGTACATATTATACTTTTGGTGGTTAGTACCTACAACTGGAACTTACTTACGGAGTCACCTAAGCCCCAGAGCAAAGGGAACACCTGAACAGGACCTATCTGCGCAAAAGCAGTTGACATCTCCTCAGGCACATCCCTTGGCAGTGTTGCCTTGAGACTTCATGGTATCGTGGGGCCAGTTCTTTGGGGCCCCAGACTGTTCGGGCTCTACATGTGGATCTTGGGGTCCAGTGGTCTCTTCTGAAGGGCTTGCTGTTTGAGGTTTTGGGTTGAGGATTTGGGGATTTCGGATGTAGGCTCGCGGGGGAAAGGAGTTTGCGAGTCTCTGCTTTTCACAAAACACAGGATGCAAAACGACTCGGCATAGTTCTCGGTCCGGGCATCTGAGGTTTGCGATTTAACGGGATGCTGCAATTATTTCGAGGTTGGGCGCAGCATGTGGTAGCCGCTTCTTCGCATAAATAAATGGAAACCCATTCAAAACTAGAAGATTCCGACAAAGCCCGATATCCAAACCCACACATCCTGACTCGCTGCACTTGAACACTGACATGCAGACAACTTAGAAGCTGCCCCCACCTGCGAAACCCAAGCCTGCATAATAAATGCTCTCGGCGATTCCGCTGGAGGTTTCCGCTCTTTCCGCTTATTTCCGCTTCGGCTTTTGGCTGTGGATAGGCTGCTCTAAAACAAAATTGCTCTCTCGCAAGTGTTGTCTGAAAGCAGAAACGCTCTTCTGCTGATGCCTTTGATGGTTTGGAAAAGCCGTATATATGGGCACTGGTGATCAACATAAGGTTTAGATGGTATGTCTATACCTAAAAGAAGCAGCACATACCCTTTCTCACACAGCACGGCCTCGCAGTCTCGCAGTGCCCAAACATCCACTTCAAGTGCATGAAGACAACAGCCTAAACCGGCCTAAGCCTTCGAATCCTTTACAAACCCCAAATAGAAGCTCGTAGATGACCCCTTTATACATCCTATAGAGATATCAAAAGCCCTATGTATATAACTGTATATATATATACATACATATATACATACACGTGCTATATATATATATATATACCCTTCTCCAACCCTATATATATACACACACAACTTACCTATATAGTTCCTGTATATCTATATCCCATATAAACCTTACATATCCCTGGTGGATGGCGAGCACCGGCGTTGATCTCGCAGCTGCCGGGAGCCCGGACTTCAAGATGCAGACGGACCCTAGCTATTTAACCCTATATACTATAAACTTGAGTAACTTGAGGTACACATGGTATCGGAAAGATAGAAAGTGGAACCCCTATTTATTGGATAGTCGCATCTTAAACTCCAGAGTTCTTGTAAAGGAGTTTGCAAGCGAGCAGGTAATGCTCGATAGTCCTTCGGCTGGCCACCTTTGGTGACACCCGCCTAGAGATCCTGCTGACTTTGCCAATCATATCCTCATTCCCTTCAGCGTTGAAGCATGCTGCGGCATTAAAAATGACTTCGTGGCCTAAGTCAACCTGATCTTGCATGTCCACCAACACGTGATGGAAGTAATGGACCTTAGGCTTCAAGGAAAAATACCTTTTGTGATTGCGTATGCACGTGTTGGCCAAGAACACGTAGCCCCTGAACAGGCGAAGCCCAGATGCGATCGCGAATCTCGCACAAGGAGCAGAGAAGAAACACCCGTGTGAGTGGTATGTTCCGATGAAACACAAGGCTCCTTGCACTGCTTCCAACATCGCAGACAAAAGCAGTGTGTGCCCAGGCTCCTTTGGAGACCGAAGCTTCAGTCGCAAAAGCCATTCCAGGAACTCTAAGACTACCACCGAATCTGACCCTTTGCCACTCATGAACGGGTATTTGGTAGCCTTGTCACGATGGAATGACAACTTGGAAAATTTCCTGAGTCCAGAGCTCTTCTTGGAGGTTGACAGCCAAAGTTTGAACAGGCCGAAGGCTCGGGATAGTCGGGCGTTCATAGACCAAGGATCCCCGGGGGTATCCAAATATTTCCACTCGCACAAGAGCATAATGATACCTGCATTCAAATCCTTCAAGAAGCCGAATTTGCAAGTATGGAAAACATCTTTCCTGTACAAAGCGGGTCTCTTCGTGGATGCAAACGGAATCTGATTCAAAATCGGCAACTCGTCCCAGGGCTCATCACTATGTAAAGTGCTTCTCCAGCCCGGAGTGTCCCGAGTGTCGATTGCAGGGATTCCTGGAAACCCTGCTTTGCAATCTGGACAAAAGGGATAAGTCACGGTAGTTCCTATATTTTGATAGGATCGGTTCAGGTAGGCGGTCTCTAGGAAGAACTCTAAATCGCCCTTCACACCTATGACCGCACAGCGGTAAGTGGAACCACCGTGCGGCACACCCGCGTGAAACAAATCGGTCATCTCTCTGGCAACTTCCTCCAAGTATGCATCTATGAGGCCTGGATGGGCCCGGAAGACTTTCGCCGGAATGCAAGTGCCGAGCCAGTGACTCAGATACACATGGCCCTTCTGGTTGTGAGGCATTCTTGAAGTCTTGTATGGCAGAGAGGGATCACCGATTCTTCTACGTTTCCGGGGACACTCAGCATCATCCAGGGTTTCGGGATTATGTAGAGCCTGGGCCCTTTCACTGCAGCTCCTGTTGAGTTTCCCGCCGGTTTCGTGGCGAGGGGGGGCAGCAGCTTTTGCTGCCGCCTGACGGATATCCAACGGCAATCCGAATACCGTCTCCCATCCGAAGCAGTAGATTGGCTGCTTATTCAAAGTTCGCCCCTTATCCCCGTGTAAAGCTACCGGTAGGATCCGTTTCCTCTCATCTTCCGTGAATGTACTAAAGATCTCGTGCTCCGGATGGTACAGACGATATCCTTGCCAAAACTGCAAGCAAAGATTCTCTTGTTCGGGCCCGAGGTCAAAACCACCGTACAAAAGCTTCGGGTACGTCTTCAGTAGGAACCCAAAGAAATCTTTGATGTTGATGAAAGGAAGTTTGACCGGCCCCCCATCAACATCATCATGCTGCAACTCCGATATCGGAACACCTAGCGTCATCTTGAACCGCTGAAACAGCCTCTGACAATCCCTTTCACCATGGGTCTTACTAACCTTGCATGCTTGCCCGATGGAGTTGCAGCTTGAGGTGCTGCCCATATCAGCTGTAAAAGCACGAGCTATGCGTCCCACATCAGCAGCCGGAGCCTCAGATGGCTCGAAATAACTAAAGTTTGGGGTTTGCTAAGCTGTTGTTTTTAGCATATATTGGGTGCAGGGGATGTATATACTTCACATTCGGGGCTGAAGATATGTATGATGGGGCAGGAAGAAAGACTACATCTAACCAAACATATACCCACATGTCTAAAAACATATATACATATATATATATATATACCCACAATCACATAATGGTATCCCCAAACCTGAGTAATATATTGCTCCTCGCGAAAAGAAACCCCCGAGCGTGCAGTCGGACCGTCCTTATTAAGGTCGGGCTTTATTGGGTTTAAGAATATATTATATATAGGATCCAGTAAAGGGCGTATAGGGCTGGGTTAGTTGGGTTTATAGAAAAACATATATAGATGGGGAGTCTGACAAAGCCTGAAAAAATAGAGATTGATCCCCGCGTGCAATCGAACCGTTCAGCGGATTATACGGTTTTGGGCTTAAATCTCACAGGGTTATATTTAAGTGTCGAAGAATGCATGACAATTGGGACAATTGGGTTCTATGCGAGTTCTACAAGGATTGTATCTATATAACTATATAGGGGTTTATAGGGTTTAGGGTTTATATAAGGTTTAGGGTTTAGGGGGTTTATAAGTGAAACAAATCAGCCTGGAGGCACCGTCCACGACACTCTGAGCGAGTGCCTCCACGGCTTGGGTTCTTTCGGGCTCGTCAGTACCTGGCATTGCTATATACACACACACCGGCTTGACGACATCATGCGATCACATAGGCAACTGCAGATCTCCTTTTCAAAAACGTAGCAGCGAACGATCTTCCGAAAGCGTGATCAAGCATCCTAGGTCATGCCAGGAGCTGTAAGTTCGGAAAACGAGTGACCCAGCATAGGTCATGCCAAGAGCTCAAGAAACCGCCGAAACCTGACTTTGCTCGGAAATGCTGCATGCAACAGATGTATTGGTCAGCTATCATGCATCCCCGAGCTCTTAGCATCTACTTCTTGGGCTTTTTCGAGGTGGAGCCACTGGCCAGAACCGGCTGCCGCTTGCCTTTGGCCTTCGCCTTGGGTTTGCTCTTTGGATCCTCCTTCTTCTCTTCCTGCTTCTCTTCCTCCACTTCCACCGGAATCAGTGACCTGCACATGTTTGGATGCGTATATACATATGTATGCGTGTGTGTGTGTGTGTGCGTGTGTGTACGGGATGCATGTATGCAGTATGCACATGTCTGTGTGTATGCATGCATGGTGCGTAGATAAGTGTGTGACAGTTAGCCGGTGGCCTTGCTCGGTTCTCGAGCTCCCAGGAATCCACCAGCCTGCGGTGGGCATGGCAAGGCACAGGAAGGTTTTGGGGGTATAAACAGGTTTGTAGGGTTATATAGGGCTTCGGGTTTATATAGGGTTTATGTAGGGTTTGTAGGGTTTGCATGGAGTAATTATAAAAGGAAGGCGAATCTCGAAGGCTTGCAGGGTTCTGCTGTGTATAGATTTTGTTTAGCGTTGTTCAGAATTGCTGGGTGGCCAGCCGAGAAGCAGCTTCTTGATCTTGGTGATGGCCACCTTCAACTCCAGGGTGATCCTTGGTTATATAGGGCTTCTAAATAGGATTTAGGGTTATCTTGATCTTGGGTAGGGCAACCATCAACTCCAGGGTTCTTCTTAGGGTTGCTATATAGGATTTAGGGTGCTTATCTTGATCTTGGTGAGGGCAACCTTCAACTCCAGGGTGACCCTTATAAGTGGCTTAGGGTTTTTGGGGGTAATTAGGGCGATTATCTTGATCTTGTTGAGGGCAATGAGGGCAACCTAAAACTCCACGTCGATTCTTAAATGGTTTAGGAATTGTATAAGGTAATTAGGGCGATTATCTTGATCTTGTTGAGGGCATGCAACCTTGAACTCCAGATCAATCCTTTAAGTGGTTGGGTTAGGGGTTATATATCTATCTAGGGTTTATATAGGGTGGTACATTGTCGCACACGAAATGTAAATCACATTTCATCCCAGACTCTCGTCCCAGCCGTCAACGATGCCCCGGGTTTGCAGATCTTGGAACTCGTCACTGCATGCATCGATGGCATCATAGCTCGTTGTGAGGCGCTCGACCATCCTCAAAGCAGACAGCCGGAACACGGTAATCGGTGTATTGCATGGAGTGTATAATGTGCATGTAATTTGTGCAACCGAGCTTCCGCTGCAAAGTCTTCAATGCAGTCCCCTTTGCTGTCCCTGCAGCCGGGTCTTGCTGTAGCTGCTCCTGCTTCTTGTCCACGTGACCCTGCAGCTGGTTTTTTGCATCCTCCACCACAAGCAAGCGTGTGCTGATGCAACCCATCAGCTTGTGCAGGCTTTGCCCTGCGGTTTCGATCCTGTCCATGTTGGGGAAGGCCATCCTTTTCAGGATCTTCAGGGATTCCTTTTCCATAGCCTGCTTGACCTCGGGGTCCTCCACCTTCTTGGCGCGTTTGGCAGTACCTTGCAAGATCGAGGCAAGAGGGTTTATAAGGCTTTAGCGGTTATTTAGGGGTTTGGGATTCATGCAGTTTATAGGGGTTCAGGGGTTTAGGGGGTTAAGGGTTTACAGGGTTTAGGGGTTTAAGGGAGGGTTGATAAGGCTGTAAGAGTTCATTTTTCCATCAAAACAAGTTACCATTGTCGAGGTCGGGGTCTTCAGCCCTTTTGAGCACAGATCCCGAGGGCATCTCCAGGTTGATCTCGTCCGTTGGACAATCGAAGTCCTGCTCCTCTTTGATAGTAGTTCTCGCAGAATTCCTGAGTGTGATGGTTGCTACATCAGCTACTTAGGCAGCTATAGAAGCTTTTGAAGCAACTTATGCACTGCATGCAGAGCAAGAGTCTTCGTGTGCCCTTGAACCTTCAGCTCCATGTAGTAAGTCCGAACTCCCTTCCTGAAGGTGTGCCACCTGCAAGCGTGCCATCACACAATGCACATGTCACTGTTGTCTTGCGTAACCGGGTCGCACCGTATGAACTTCGCGGGATCCGTCTTGGCTTTCGTGACGACATTCAGAATGTCTTCCCTCGGAGAGGTTTAGGGTTTATAGGTTTTATATAGGTTTATAATTGGTATATATATATATATATATATAGGGCATAGGGTTTCTAGGGTAGCACACGGAAGCCTCCTATCCAGATAAAGGTCTACTACTTGTACGAGACCACATTTGGAAGCTCACCTGGATTGCATCTACGTCTACGAGATCGCGACCTTTCGAAAGCTTGCCTAAATTGGATCGAGTCGGGGCTCATTACATTATGTGGGGCGGATTGCATGGTTTGATGGAATTCTACAACCCGTGAATTCCCCAGCCCTATAAACCCCAAGGGTCCAAACAAACCTTCTAAAACATCGAACAGCCACCAGGCAAAGGTCTGACTGCAAGGCTGGAAGGCCATATACCCCAAGCCTTAAACTATATTAGCCTATACAGAACCCTATAAGCATACATAGACCCTACATTAAACCTATATGCAGCAAGCCACATGTATATATGTGTATACATGTATACATATATACATACATATATATATATATATACATATACATAGTAGACATGTGTATACGATATAAATAAATAAATATATATATATATATATATATATATACACATAATATATTTTTTTAGATCGTATGAACCATGCGATGATATAGTCAAGCGAGTGGTGTAGGCAGTTTGCAATGTGGTGTGCTTTGGCGTAGAGTGTTCTGTTGCGGTGGCGGTGGTGTGGTGGTTATGGTGATGATGTGTGATTGTGTGTGTGTGTGTGAGCGATGGTGATATGTAATATCTATATCTATATCTATATCTATATCTATATATCACATAAAGTGTATATTAGATCGGTTTGTCTATATACATATATATATATATATATACACGGTATATAAACTGTTCTATATATATATATATAGAACAGTTTATTTAAACCCTATATAAGCCCGAAAAGAAACATTCTTATAAACTTCCGAAACCCTTAAAACTTTATACACCCAGAAATCTAGCCAAGCTTCTCACTCATGCCGTGCTCGGTCGCCATCTCTTCCTCAGACACGAACTCGAAAGGAATGGAGACCTCTTCCTCCTTCTCCCTCGTGCTGGTGACGGAGAAGCGCTTGATGAAGGCATCGGGGGAGTAGCCCACATCCTGGAATATCTTGATAACCTTCGGCCGGCTCGAGGGATCATTCCACATGTTTCGGATGGACTCGCTCACCTTGTACGTCCCCATCGGTGTTGGTGCCATGATGCGTCGCAATCTTCTGTCGATTGCCGCCTCCGATGGCTCGTCCTCCTGCTTCTGCCGCGGAACTGACCGCGGTCGCTGCTGCACTGCGAGCTGTTGCTGCTGCTGTGGATGCGTTGCCAGCTGCTGCGGACCTCCCTGCTGCTGCAAAGGTGGGTGCATTGCCTGCTGATGCGGACCTCTCTGCTGCTGCGGCGAAGGATGCATTGCCTGCTGCGGAACTCCCTGATGCTGCGGCTGTGGATGCACTGCCTGTGGTGGATGCATTGCCTGCTGCGGAACTCCCTGATGCTGCGGCTGTGGATGCATTGCCTGCTGCGGAACTCCCTGATGCTGCAGCTGTGGATGCATTGCCTGATGCTGCCGAACTCCCTGATGCTGCGGAACTCCCTGGTGCTGCAGCTGTGGATGCATTGCCTGATTCTGCGGAACTCCCTGATGCTGCAGCTGTTGATGCATTGCCTGGTGCTGCGGATCTCCTTGCTGCTGCAGCTGTAGATGCACTGCCTGGTGCTGCGGAACTCCCTGCTGCTGCATTGGTGGATGCATTGCGTGCTGCTGAGGAACTGCCTGCTGTGGCGGTGGATGCATTGCAAGCTGCTTTGGAACTCCCTGCTGTGGCGGTGGAGGCATTGCATGCTGCTTTGGTGCATGCAGTAGGGAATGCTGCTGTTGCATCGTGGCTTTGGGCGGCACTGCTGCAACCTGTGGTGCATGCACTGCGGGATGCTGCTGTTGGATCGTGGCTTTAGACGGCCCTGCTGGATCTGGTGCATGCACTGCGGGATGCTGCTGTTGGATCCTGGGTTCGGGCGGCACTGCTGGAACCTGAGCTGCATGCGTTGCGGGATGCTGCTGTTGGATCGTGGCTTTGGGCGGCACTGCTGGAACCTGAGCTGCCTGCACTGCGAGATGCTTCTCTTGGATCCTGGCTGTGGTCGGCGACATCGCTGCTGCAGGTTGCTGTTGCTTGGCCTGGGCTGCACTGGTTGTCGCCTGTGTTGCTGCAACCTCTGTTGTGTGCACCTGCTGCTGCAGTCCTGTTGCTGGCGATGTCCCTGCTAGGCCCTGTCCTGCCTGCTTTGCGACCGGCTCCTGCTGTTGTGTGGATGGCTGCCCTGTCGTGAGCATCTGTGGTCCTGCCTGCATTGCGGGATGCTGCTGTTGAGTCGAAGCTGTGGAGGGCGGCATTGCTGCGGGTTGCTGCTGCTTGGCCGGAGCTGCATTGGTTGTCGCCTGTTTTGCTGCAAGCTCAGCTGCCTCCTCCCTTTGCCGCACCCTCTCGTAGATCATCTGCTCGGCTTCGTCAAACCGAAGTTCTTCGATCAGTCGCAGTTCCTCGTTGTGCTGTTTCCCTTGGCTTGGCTCCTGCGATCCTGTTGCTGCTGCTGGCATGCCTGCCTGCGTTGCGTCCGGCTGCTGCTGGGGGGCTTGTGGTCCTGCATGCGTCTGCTGCTGCGGAGGTGGAGTCGAGGTCTCGGGTGTGGGCTGCGTGAGCTGCTGGGATGAAACCTCAATCGTCTCGAAAATACGTTGAGATGACGGGAGCTGTGCTTGGGCTGCGGGGGGAGGCTGGGATTCCATTTCCAGTGATTCGGCCTGCGTGGCTGCCATAATCACCGGCTCCCCGTATAGTGCCCTTTGTCCATCCTCCGAAGTTACTCCAAAGCTTAGCTGCCGTTGCGTAGACGGAAAGACCGCATTGCAGGCAGCTTCCTGGTATCAATTAAAGATTATTTAAAAGCTACAAAGCCGACCCCGTATTATAATATATATATAATATATATATATATATATATATATATATATATATATAAATATGAGTACATATTATATATATATATATTATAATACGGGGTCGGCTTTGTAGCTTTTACTATGGAAGCCCTGCGGTATTAAAACCAGAAAGCCAATATGTACATATAAAAGCCCTTATCCTAGAAACCCTTGGTACCCCGATAAACCCTGTTTGCCAGCCAGGCACCAGATCCGATGGCTCTTCATCGGAAACGTTCAAGCAGCTGCCCTGCATCTCTTGCATGCAGTCGTCGTAGAGCTCCTGAGGGGGATTTTTTTTTAGAAGGGTTCAGGGCTGCATGCCGGGTTTAAATTTCAAAGGCCTGCCAGGCTTAGCCGTGTTGTCTAGAAGGCAAATTAGAAGGTATGTATAGGGCTATATATATAGGGTTTATATAACGGGTTTAAACTTCTGAGGCCTGCAAGTTCTATCTGCGTTGTCCAGAAGACACAGGATGTCTCCTGAAGGGTTTATATAGATAGGGGTTTAGACTTCTGAAGCTTGCGAGTTCTACGGTTGATGATATAAATCCTGCATTACCCATAATAAGGAATATACCATAATTACCATCGTTTAGGGCCCTTATATAAAGTAATGCAGGATTTATATCATCAACCGTAGCTGTTATATTGTCTACATCATGCATAGCCCAGGATCTCCTGCGTTCCAGAAGGGTTTACAGGGTTCATGGGATAGACTTCTGCGGCCTGGAAGTTCCAGCATGCTGTCTAGAAAGCACAGGATCTCCGGGTTCAGGGGTTTAAGGCTGCGATCACTTGTCTACGAGGCACAGGATCTCTCTTGCATTCTAAATGGAGTGTAGGTTACATAGGGGACTACAAACTTTTGAGGCCTGCTAGTTCTAAATAGCTGTGTTGTCTAGAAGGCACACAGGATGCATGTCTCCTGCATTTCAGCTTGCATAGCGAGCTCCTCATCGTCAAGCTCAGGCTTGACTGGAACATGTGCCGAGCCGTCGCCCGGATCCATCCCTGGCTAAGGCAAAGCAACCCCAGCTTGCTTCGATCACTGCCGGCGATGCATGCGGGTGCATCCATTCATTTGCTCAGAACTCAGTTTATTAGATGGCGTGCACTCATGGGTTTGCATCACACCACACAAGAATCAAGAGTGAATGCTGAGTAGCTCCAGTGCGAACCATGTACAATTATGTAGAAATGCCATTCCGCTGTTTTCCGCTCTTTCGACGCCGATTTCCGCTCTTTCACCGCGAGATTCCGCTCTTTCGTTTTCCGGCCATTTTCGTGCATTTCGGCATAGCACTATAAGGGGCCGACTCGCAAGATTTTTGGATTAACAAAAGCCCGGGCCCATGCCTGCCTTCCCCCTAAATACCTATACCTGAAACCCTTAACGGACTATAAACCCTTATATAACCCGTTAACTACCCTTATATACACCTGACCTCCTAAACCCCGAAAAACGCTATACCCCCAAACCCCTAACCCCTAGCATGGTCCTATATACTGTTTGTATATGACGGTATGAAGAAGGCCGGGCTTCTAGCTAGGCAGGAATCCGTCGAGGCTCGAAATCCCTGCTCTGGCGAGGTATAGAGGCTTTCTACTCGATGGCCTAAATCCCGACAACCCTATAAACCCTTCACCCCTAGCTAAACTTGTAAGCCCTCTATATATGTATATATGTATATATGCATATATCGGGTGTACATGGTTTGAAACCATGCATGCGTAAATATCCAGTAGCCTCTATACCTCGATCAGATCCCAGGTGGTCTTGGCGGCATTGGCGAAAGCCGAGGCCGGTCTTAAGTCTGACTGATTAATAAACCCGGGACCTGCGTAGGCGTCTCCGTGTTTAAGGGTATATATAGGGTTTATAAAGGCCTTAGGAAGAAGCCAGGCTACATGCATGCCCAGATATAGTCTTTATTATGGGCATAAGATCTTATCAAGAACTGATGCAGGTTCCGGTGCACCAACTCGACTCGTCGATGTGGCACAGCGGCAGCACTCTGGAGCTGTCTTTAGAAACGATCGGGTGTTTTGGGCTTTACAAATAGCTCGGCTATACACAGGTCAAGCTGGGATATATAAGGTTGGGATAGGTTGGGTTGAGGTTGGGTCAAGTTATAATATGATACACACACACATATATATATGCATATATATATATATATATATATATAAACGATATGTGGCTTGCCTTTCTCACTACAGGGTCGCTTGGGCTTCGGGAGCAGGTCCAGGCGTACAAGTATAGGCTTTACTTTAAAGGGCTGAGCTGTATAATATTTTGACATTTTACATTTTTGGGATAGGCTTGCCAGGCATCGTCACTGTACGGGTTTGTTTGGGATCAGTCTTTACCAAGGGCTGGGCCACAGGTGCGGCTAGGTGCATGGGTTGAGATTAACGGACATCGGGGATGAGCTTGCAAGGCTTCCTCACTACCGGTTGGTTTCAGGTCGAAACAGATAGGTTGGGATATGGCTTGCAAGGCGTCCTTATACGGGTACTTGGAGTGTCGGGGGACTTAGTAAGTATAGGTAGTATATAGACTTTATAAGTACCCTAAAAGGGACCCTAATTGGGGTTATGGTATTTATAAGTCCCTGTAATCAGTTACTAAGTCCCCCGACCATCCAAGTACGGTTTGGGATCAGGTCGGGATGGGTCTTGAAGAGTGCTTTCTCTGCATGATGCACGACCCCAGGTCACGATGGCATCCAGACGACGGGTCCTGGCTGCAAGCTGAGGAAGCATGCATCAGTACTGATTTCCTTTTCATCATATCCAAGGGTAAAAGGAGGACCCTTAAACTGACCCCTAAATAGGATATATATATATATATATATGTATATAGCTATTCTAGACAGCCCAATATATAGGGTTAATTTAAGGGTCCCTCCTTTTCCCCTTGGATCATAATTAGAAGTCTATATACTTCGTGTAGGGTTTGTAGGATTATGCAACATGGGGTTCACAGTGCTGCATCTGGCCTTTCTAGATTCGATACATGCATAGGAGAAGCCCTGATGTAGAAGCGATCGTGCTCCATGTGTGTGATCTCCCATCACTTAAACTCTAAACACGAACGAGGTACAGCCCATGCATGCACCAATGCATGCAGATCCCAGAAACCCATGCAGCTTTCTGAGTAGCCACCCATGTATATACCCCCCCGGCGAATATTATGAGTCCATGCATGTGTATATATATACACACATACACACAAATTCGTGTGTGTGTGTGTATATATATATATATATATGTTTATGCAGGACTCATAATATTCGCCGGTATATATAACCCTGCGAACCTTTATATAACTCTGCAACCCGTATAAGCCGATATAGAAAGCCTATAACCCCGTACCGAAATTTCGAAGCCTACGGCAGTTGAAAGCCTCTGGCCGGTGGGCCCAAACATCCAGGGCATTGCACATGTGTGCTCGACAACATATAGACCTCGGCAGCAGTGGCTTATGGGGCTTATGGTGTTTCGGCATTCAGGAGGGTTTATACGTGGCTTGGAGGGGTCAGGGTCAGGCACAACTACAGATGGCTTTTAAAAGCCAATTATGTCATATGCGATCGAGGGCGAAATATTTGGGGAGAGAGCGGCGTGGCTGAATGCATGAGGCGGTATACTGTATAGGAACCTGATTAAGAGACCCTGACTAATATATGATATAAATAAATAAGTATATATATATATGTACGATCATGATCCCTTATATATGAAATACAATTCAGGGTCTCGTAATCAGGTTCCGATACAGTATCCATTGCTCGATGTCGGGTTCGGGCCGGCATGACGTGAATCCTCATGGAGCTAGCAAAAGTGGGTCCTCACCACCCAATGTACATACCCCCGCCCTCCCCGAAAATTCAGGTCCCATATACAACCAAAATAGCCCACACAGACCCCGTAAAGAATTTCCGAAGCCCACATCTTTGGAAAGCCTCTGGCCAGTTGGCCCAACCATCCAAGGCATTGCGTGGCTCGACAACATATAGACCTCGGCAGCAGTGGCAGTGGCTTGTTTTGGCATTCAGGGAGTTTTTTTTTTTAGGTGGCTTGTGGGTAATGTACAATTAGGATGGCCTTCGAGTCAATATAGATGGCGAAATATATGGGGCTGATCAGAGGCGAGGCCGAAAGCTATTGATGCAGGTTATATTGCTCCACGTCTGGTTCAGGCCGGCAAGACCTCAAAGCCTCAGGCTGCAACCCTTTAAAACCCACACGATCCTGAATATCTTAAACTGCATATATATATATATATATGTATGCATGGGTCCCCTATGCCAAGAACAGGCGTACGGAGCTTACATGCTGTCCCTCAAGCTGCCCGAAGACCCTCCCCCCGCAAACCCAACACACCCCACAAAGAGAGGGAGAGCGAGAGAGAGAGAGAGAGAGAGAGAGAGAGAGAGAGAGAGAGAGACAGAGAGGGAGAGCGAGAGAGAGAGAGAGAGAGACAGAGAGGGAGAGCGAGAGAGAGAGAGAGAGACAGAGAGGGAGAGCGAGAGAGAGAGAGAGAGAGACAGAGAGAGAGAGAGAGAGAGAGAGAGAGAGAGAAAGCGAGAGCGAGAGCGAGAGCGAGAGCGAGAGCGAGAGCGAGAGCGAGACGAGTGCAGGAGTTCCTAATTCGGCCCTAAATAGATGGAACCCCATCAGTCGGATTGAACGGATCGAGGCTGCAGCTCAAAGTATCCTCCATCGTCGCATAGCAAAATGCGGGCAGGACTGGCTTTACTGTATCTCCCGTAGAGCATTCTGAATGCATGCGGCCAGCTCTGCAAGAAAACGTCGGAGGAAGTCCCACATCTGGCCCAAAGTTCGAGATTTGAACTTCAACTCCGACTTGCATTGGTTAATGCCCTCCACACAAGAGTCAGTGCTCTTCCTTACATAATGAAGTTCGCGAGTCAAGGAAACAACCTCTTCGTTCAGCGTCACAACTTGCTTTCGCAAGCGGTAGAGCTCTTGGTTGACCTCCTCCAACCGATCGAAAAAAGCTGCTTCCAAGTCGGGCGTACCGGCCATGTTTGTACTCGGGGATTTTGCGAGTTTATAATTGGAAGTCTTGCATGATTGTGCTAATCCTGAGCAGCCAAGGCTATCGATATCGGCACCTCGGGAGCCGAGTCTGCTATCGGAGACTATATCAGCCCAAAGATCATGGCAGGCAGCAAATGAGTTGTGTGCAGCCAGCAGCCAGTGCGTACATGTAAGCATGATCGATCTTCGGGTAGTGTACCTATAGCAGGCTTATATAGGGTTTAAGGGTTTTATAATATGTAGAGTGCCATGCATATAGCTGTGCATGGTTTTCATAGGCGGTTAACCGGATACTTCAGAACTTCAGGGGCTGAAAAGACAAGATGGCAACCGCATTATAAGCGTCCCTTGCATACCCACACTATAAATTCTCGAGTCCTGCACACGATTACCGACATAATGCTCTAAACCCAACCCGGACCCCAAAGAACCTACCTTTTTATAAAAGCTCCTTGTGATGATTTCCTTATATGTCCTTAAAAAGGCAGGAAGCCTGAAACCCCTAGCCCCTAAACCTACATAATTATGTACAAAATAAGCATGTAACCCCCGACTATGTAAAGCGAGTCAGGATGGCGACCGCCAAGTTCGATGCCCATCTTCATGAGGGAAGCGATGCTTTGCCCCCGTCGCATCTTGCCTGCAAGCAGGCAGAAAAGCACAATGTAACAGTGAAAGTGTCCAGCGATGGCACATGTCTGAAAAGCAGGCACGATCGAACACTGAGTTTTGTCGCACCGTGTGAACCACGGCAACCCCCTTCCTGGTAAGCTCGGTCGATGCACGAGGTTCTGCCCCATGCTGCAAGCAGGCGCTCCCACACATGAAATTAAGAGCTTCATACCAAAGCGTATCCAGACACGGTGAGGCTTCTGTACAGTACTTGATAACAGGCTAGGCACATGGCAGTGTTTGCAAGGGTGCGTTGCAATATCTGAGGGAGCTATGTGCACACACATAAATCACAGCGTCTGGTACACTACGGCATGAAGCTGGCCCCGGAAACATGTCTCACTTTGAGACGGCCGACTTCAGAAAGTCACTCGCCCGGGCACGGGCAATCTTGAGGTAGTCGTCGATCGTGCTGTTCGCATCGAAGAGGGGCTTGATCATGTCGTACCAGGCATACTCATGCTTAGAAGGGAATCGCAAGGAAGGCTTCACGTGGCTGTCAAAGATGTCCCGGATCGCTTGCCATTGCATCGCTTGGTCTGGAGGATTCGGGCGTGGACGGCGGGCGAACACCTTCTCCTTGACCGGCGGCTCCTCATCCGATGGCTTGCCTTTCGCCTTCGCCACTGCTTTGCCTTTTGCCTTCGGTGCTTTCTTGGCGGCTGCCTTGGGTTTCGGTGCTTTCTTGGCGCCTGCCTTCGGTTTCGGTGCTTTCTTGGCGGCTGCCTTCGCTGTGGACTTCTTGGAGGGCTTTGCTTCGCCTGGCGAAGCTGGGCCCTCATCCTCCGGCTCGTCGTCGGCATCGCTGCTCGCCTTTGCGTCCTCCTCCGGCTCGTCGGCAGCATCGCTGCTCGGCTTTGTGTCCTCCCCCGGCTCGTCGGCAGCATCGCCGCTCACCTTTGCATCCTCCTCCGGCGGGATAGAAGAACCTGGCTTCTTCCCACCACATCCACGTCCACGGCCACGACCGCGTCCACGACCGCCAGTGGCCTTACTGGCAGCTCCCCCATGATTGGTTTTCGTCCGTTTGGCAGCAGGTCGCTTCTTCACCACCGGCTCATCGTCGTCCTCATCGCTTTCGTCGCCCTGCTCCCCCTCATTTGCCGTGGCACCTTCATGACCACCTGCCTTGCGTTTCCCCGGCTTGCCCTTGAACTGCTCCGTTCTGCTGACCTCTGCCTGCACAGATCTGATAAGGATATATGTGATCTGTGCACAGCGACAGGGCATGCGAAGCATGTATAATGCATGCAAGGGTTGCACACACAACTGCAAGTCCGAAAATTGCCTTGAAATCCAGAACAGTGAAAGCTTTCTCGGGAGCCGAGGCGATGGACTCAGTGCCAGCAGCTGCCTGAGGCGAGATCAGATCTAATATCGATCATGCTGTGTATATTGAACCAAACTAGGTATATACAGGGTGTATATATAAATATAGGGTTTATCGAGTCTATACAACAAGAAAGGGTTTGGTTTAGGGACTGACGTAGTCCGGGGTGCTTGCGGCTTGCAGTCGCTGGCAGCAACAGGAAGGGTCAGGCAAACTTCACCAGCAGGCTTGCTTTCAGGCTCACGAGGAGACACGTCAGGGGTCGGGCAAACTTCACCAGCAGGCTTGCTTTCAGGCTCACGAGGAGGCACGTCAGGGGTCGGGCAAACTTCAGCAGGCTTGCTTTCAGGCTCAAGAGGAGGCACGTCTCCAGGGGTCGGGCAAACTTCAGCAGGCTTGCTTTCAGGCTGACGAGGAGGCACGTCGAAGATGTCGAAGGGCTGGGTGTCCAAAGAGCTCGGGTCGCCTGGATAGAGTCGGGTTTATATGGGTTATATAGGGGTTATATATAGGGTTTTATATATGGGCTTTATATAAAGTATATAATATGGTTAGGTGTGAACTCTTCAGGATTAGCAGATCTCGGAAATTGCACGACAAGCTGGATGCCAACGGGTCACATGATGTTCTCGCGGCAATAGCTCTCTGGGCTTGCTTCTCTGCCAACTTTTGCCTGATCAGGAATGCAATCGATCTGCGTGCAGCCGGCTGCTTGCAAATCTACCGAAGCTTACTGGAGGCAACGGGTATATGGGATCACGGCAATTCAATCTGGGTATTTCAGATAAGATTCTTAAGCTCGGCCATGCGTGCCAATTTGGCTTGGCGAGTAGCCAAGGTCGATGACATGGGTGCCTCTGATGTAAGAAGGCTAGAGGGGCTTGCCAACGAGGACTCCGAAGACCCACCAGCTGAACTCGTGATATGCGACCTCCTCTCAATCACAGGTGGAGGTTTCCCATTGACACAAGGAGTCGCCACCATTGTGAGATCATGGCCTGGCGAGACCTTAGGCGCATGATCCCTTATCACCGGCATCTCAGCAGGCTCCTTTGAAGGCACACCGATCTCGAGCTCCTGGTTGTCTGGCGTAGGCAAAGGACCCCCAAGCAACGGCATCTCGAGCTCCTGGTTGTCTGGCGTAGGAAAAGGGCCCCCAAGCAACGGCATCTCAAGCTCCTGGTTGTCTGGCGTAGGAAAAGGGCCCCCAAGCACTGGCATCTCGAGCTCGTGGTTGTCTGGCGTAGGCATCTCGAGCTCCTGGTTGTCTGGAGTAGGCACAGGCTCCTGATTGTTTGGACAAGGCACAGGGTCCCCAAACTCATCTTCCGAATACGGCTCGAACACCTGCCCATCCGGTAACAGGTAGGGGTCCACATACTCCACAGCAGGCTCATCGTGCTCAGCCTCGACCACTGGAGCATCGTCGTGGTGGCCTTCACCGTCGCTTGGATCGCCAGCCTCGCCAGCCTCATCATCACCACCGTTCTCGCCATCAGGATCACCACCGCCCCACTTAGCAATCATCAGATTCATGATGGGCTGCAGCGTTGCATCCTGCACTATAGATCAGATCATACACTATATGTAAACCTTGAGCAACCCTTCGAATCCCCAAGCCTCAATATGTATACATATATATACACATATGTATATAGGGTTTTTATAGGGCCTTAATTTATAGAGGGTTTATAAGGATTGATTGATTGATTGATTGATCGAGCATAAATAAGAACCCCGCACATGTGTCCCGAAAGTTCAGAGCTCCAGTGCGGTATCGCCGAAGCGTATAGCTCATCAGCCTCTTCAAACCCCATTCGTCGACATACATCTTGACAGTGTCCGGCGAAGTCACGAGCAGTCGGTGGATTTCCTTCACCTGGGGGGGCTGTGGGCCATTCAATACAGATTTTGTTTGGATCTTGAGAGATGTGTGGTTTATAATAGATAGATATGTATGTAGGGTTTACAGGGTTCGGGGGATTTGGTCTGTGAGGCCTCTTGTCGGAGCCACCCAATAGGTGGAGACTTAGGGCCGTCGGAAAACTCCACCCAGACCTGCATTGTCTTCCGAACAACGAACCTGTTCAACTTGAGGGTGGCCTTCGTAGCAACACCGGTAGCCTGGGCACTCTGCCAATCCAGCAATCGTTGCTGCTTCCTCATCTGATCACGTGTAATCTCACACGAATCCCACATCTTGCTAAGCTTAAACTGCTCTGGCCATGCCGCTGCTGCCTCCTCCATCGTGCCACAAAATGTGACACACACACAGAGAACAGCTACCTCAGGATATACTTGATCCTCCATATCAAGAACAACACGACAGTCGATCAAGCTTTTTTGTGTATGCATTGCACACACACACACACACCGACTGCAGAGTAAGTGCATGCATGCATGCAGGCCTTCTGACAGCTCCCAATGGCCAAACGGATCCTGCAACATACAAAAGGCAGATGATGTCGAATCGATCATGCATGGCTCCTTCGACAAGCCACTGGTCACGAGGACGGCGATCGGGAGGAGCCGGCCTGCTGTGCGTGGGGTGTTCCCGGTTGTCGCTTACCCTGCATGCCCCCGGCCTTTCAGCGTCTGTTGAATAATCGTAGTAAACAGCAGCCAAAGCAAAGTCACCTGCGAGGGCGACTTTATATACTCGATGTCATCATTATTGGGGTCACTGTGCATTTTGACAAAGCGAGATGCTTTTCCCCCGATTGCTAACCAGCTCGGCAGCACATTGGTCCATGCTACACACAGCATTGCAAAGGCACCGAACTGTACCCAGCTCCATATATGGAATCTTCTCAACCATGAACGATCGGCTGCCGAAGGAGCCCATTTTTGCCTGGGACATTCAGTGCGAGGGGGCTCGGGAAGAAAAAGAGTCCACAATTGGCCGTGCTAAAGGGATTGCGATCGAGGTTGGGAAAGATGATCGACAGCTTCTTAGGGTTTCCTAGTCGAGGCTAGTTAATTATGAGGCGAAGATAAGTAATCCCAAGAATCCCCGATGCTTTAAAAGATAAGGTGCACATCTCCTTGAAGAGGATTCGGAAGTGCAGGCAGATCCCTTGATGACGAATGTTGTCGATGACGTGTTGCACGATTTCGTCCCCAGATGCCGGTGGATCCTCCCAAACATTACATACATATTGGACAACCTGAATACCTGTACACTTGGAACATGAAAGCCCTGGCCGTCCTGCTGACTGTACATAGCTCGGCAGCAAGCCAGCCAAAAGCGGTCATCCATCTGCATCAGTCCTGCGAACTCGAGCGGTGTCTGTGCTACACCCAACCTTAACTTATGAACCCATCCCCCGGCCCGGTGTTGTCCTTCCTCTGAGCAAAGCGAGATGCTCTGCACAGAAACATTCGCCAGCAAACCGACCATGGTCGCAAAAGTCATGACGGGCCCCTACAGAAAAGAAGCTATGCCCACCAGATCCCAAACAGCTGGCACGGTAGCTGCATCTAGGTCAATCTGACACTGAAGGCACCACTTGCAAGTAGACAAAGAGCGAGAAGGGAGGGCGTGCCTCCATCACCATAACGAGGTCGACATCCACATGTTTTCCAGCATTTATATATTATCTCAAGGTACGTGCTGGCTAGATATAGAGGTGACCCGCATATCGTTATATAAAGACCTCGATTCGTCCTGCGGCCGGTTTGGGCTTTCGTCTAAGGTTCTTCGGGATGACAATCAGCGCGGATTATCTAGGGGTGTCTTCCATGCAAGGTTTGTGGAGGAACAAAAGTAAAGGATGAGGATTACATATAGGGGTGTCATCCTTGCAAGGTTATCGACTATTACAAAGTTCTATGTAGACGGCGAGGATTGTGTATCGATGCTATAGTCGTCGAAAGCCAAGCTCCAGGGACGGGCGAAATTCGCTCTTTGAATTATGTGGCTCTCCATGAAAAACGCGCTTTGGATAATCGATGACAGATGCTTCGTTACATGAAGTTTTGCTCTCTCTCCGCTGCTTTCCGCTCTCTCGTTTGGGAAACGCTTTTGTGCGTAAAGATTGTTATTTCCTGGAAGAGCAAAAATTACGCAGCAAAAGGTTTCACAGGCACCCTGTCATAGTGGTATAATAGGAATATAATAGGGCCCCGAATATAATCCTATATAATCCTTACAGTCACTATTACAGAGTGGGGGCAGCTTCTAACAGACAACCCAATGAGACTCCAAAGAGACCAGCTCCAGGCCACAGTCCCGGCTCCACATCCAGCAGACAACCCTAACTCTCTACTTCCCAGGTTTAGGGTTTAGGGGTTTAGGGTTTAGGAACTTCCCAAACTGAGACAGAAAGGGTCTGAAGCCATGAAGCCCTGACGGAAGCCTGCAGCTGCAAAGTTTCAGGCCCCAGCCTCCCCGCAGCCGACGCCGGCAAGACAAGCGGTAGCTGGGCAGGATCGGAGTCCTGCTGTTGTTGTTGTTGTTGTTGTTGTTGTTGCTGTTGTTGTAGTGGCTGGTGGCTGATGGCTGTGGTGTAGTGCTTGTTGGTGTGTCATCCGTGTCAATACTGGTGTTGTCGGTACCGGGAAGACGTCGTGGGGGTGACGATTGATTACCTGAGTGTGGACACTAGAAGCAAAAGGAGGAATCGGACTCAGGGCTCCGGAAAGAATACAAGCATAACAGCCGCACGGTAGTGCTTTTCGGTGCCTAAAGTAAGTTGACAAGATGCATGTGAGATCTGTGTCCCTGCTATGCCTGAACCGGGCCCAAACTCTGTGAGAATCCGTCGACGTGGTGAACTTGATAAAGCTAGAGTCAGCTAGAGTTAGATACCCTTGACATGACGGTTTAGCAACAAAGTTCACGTAGTCGGAATTGCCTCAAGAGTAAGACGGAGATGTTGAGGAGAGAGTGAGGTCTTTTCGTCTTCGTTTGCGTTGCTTGTTGGCACGGGTGCCAAACCCTTCGTGGAGACCCCAGAGAGGGGATTTCCGCTCTTGGCTACCAGACTGCCCTTGACGGATGTGTGCTTTGTGCTTCTCTCCCGTGTTTCCGCCGGAAGGTTGCAAAAGGAGGAATCGGACTCAGGGCTCCGGAAAGAATGCAAGCATAACAGCCGCATGGTAGTGCTTTTCGGTGCCTAAAGTAAGTTGACAAGATGCATGTGAGATCTGTGTCCCTGCTATGCCTGAACCGGCCCAAACTCTGTGAGAATCCGTCGACGTGGTGAACTTGATAAAGCTAGAGTCAGCTAGAGTTAGATACCCTTGACATGACGGTTTAGCAACAAAGTTCACGTAGTCGGAATTGCCTCAAGAGTAAGACGGAGATGTTGAGGAGAGAGTGAGGTCTTTACGTCTTCGTTTGCGTTGCTTGTTGGCACGGGTGCCAAACCCTTCGTGGAGACCCCAGAGAGGGGATTTCCGCTCTTGGCTACCAGACTGCCCTTGACGGATGTGTGCTTTGTGCTTCTCTCCCGTGTTTCCGCCGGAAGGTTGCAAAAGGAGGAATCGGACTCAGGGCTCCGGAAAGAATGCAAGCATAACAGCCGCATGGTAGTGCTTTTCGGTGCCTAAAGTAAGTTGACAAGATGCATGTGAGATCTGTGTCCCTGCTATGCCTGAACCGGGCCCAAACTCTGTGAGAATCCGTCGACGTGGTGAACTTGATAAAGCTAGAGTCAGCTAGAGTTAGATACCCTTGACATGACGGTTTAGCAACAAAGTTCACGTAGTCGGAATTGCCTCAAGAGTAAGACGGAGATGTTGAGGAGAGAGTGAGGTCTTTTCGTCTTCGTTTGCGTTGCTTGTTGGCACGGGTGCCAAACCCTTCGTGGAGACCCCAGAGAGGGGATTTCCGCTCTTGGCTACCAGACTGCCCTTGACGGAAGTTCAGGTGACCAGGCGACAGCATCTAAGCTATGCTGAGGCCCGACATGTCTGCACTGGAGCTGGGGGGTGGAGATTGTTGAAGGTGTCTCCCTTTTCAGGGGTCAGGATTTGGGAGAGGTCGGTTTTCGGTTTAAGGATCTGGGCATAGATTGCCAGAGGTGTTTCGCGTTACACCATCCTCTGGCCAAGAGCCATGCGATGTCCGGAAAAGGTCCATCCCAGTACCCCCAAAGACTCCAGACCTTCGACGCATCTTGAGCCCAAACCCTTGAGCATCCTTTAGCCCTTTGGTTAGTAGGGAATGGAAGAATGGTAGCAATAGTAGTTATAAATATACCCCATTCCTTCATTCCCTACTAACCAAGGGTAAGTATGTTCCGGAACCATTGACTCGAATTGCTCTGGGCCCCTGGGCTTGCGAAGGTGCACCGAGAGCTAACGGCTGAGACGACGAAGCTGCGAGTGTCAGCGGACATGCTGGCGTCTCTGGAGGCCCGGGGCCTCCTTTGGGGATGGTACTTAAGCTGTTTGGCTGTGGCTTTCTAATACATTCTATGGACATTGGGGGTTCACCTTCGCAGAAGATGGAGTTTGGGGTTCAGGGCAGCTTAGGGACGAAATACTGTGTCTTATGGGATGCTCTTTCTTCCGGATACGAGCGAGCCGAGCATGAAGCAGAAAGTGCACACCCACGGCAAGCTCGAAGCCGAGTCCCTAAACGCGTTGCGGGCTTCGATTTCTTCCCTCAACCAAGAAGGCTCGAACCAATCCTCGGCAGACTGCCGTGATGCACGTAGCTGCATGTTGGGCTCCTTTCCAACTCGATGTGCAAACCGAAGAGCCTTCAAGCAGTAGATCCTCAACCTCTGGATCCTGGAGCCTCGGCCCAAAACACACCGAAGCCATCAGCCCCGATACGATTGAAGAATCCTCGAAGACTCGAACGTCCCAAAGCCCTTAAGCCCCTAAATCCTACGACCCCAAGACCTTCAACCCTAGAGCCCATCAACCCCAAAAAGAAGCCCCAGAGCCCCGAACCCTCAAAAGAAGCCCTAGACTCTAAGCCCCGCAGAAAGCACAGGGACCCTTAGAGGGGGTAGGGGGGGGGTGTGGGCTATACTTCCTTAAATAGGCCTTCTTAGGCCCTTATCATGGCATTACGGCCGCCTACCCCCCTTAGGGTCCCTATAAAGAAAGCAGTAAGCCTCAAAGTTGCCCAGGCGGATCTCCAGAGTGCAAAGGTCCAAAGTGACCTCAAGGACCGGACTTTTTGTAGGAGCCTGTTTAAGAAACTCTGGGCCTATTATAGCCCCAATATAGTAGGATTCGCAGAAGGAGAAACTCTGGGCCTATAACCCCAAAATAGTAGGATTCATAGA